AACAAAGAAATAAGGGTAAAATCCCATCATTATCTAGGAATATACCTTTTGACATTTTAACAGGACATCATATTGATTTAGGTTGGTGTTGTGCCAACATTTTTTTCAGGTTTCTTGCATATAAACGATCCAGCTTCTCTTAATGTAGCATCAGCAACATCTTTTTTAGATTTTTATTGCAGATCTGTCAGTGTGCTTTATCCACTTACTTTTGCAATAGTCAGCATTGCAGAATGGACCAATTATTTAACATAGCTGCCACAGAAAAGCTGACTCTGATTTCATCTTGCTCATGAAGGGCAATCCTATGCACATAACCAAGTCATTTTCTCACAAATAACTTAGAAAAATGCCAAGTTCTGCCTTCTTTTTTTTTTCATTGATTTTAGTACTAGAATGCTTCTTAAAGAAATACAAACACAATGAGCCAAAAACATCACAGCAAAAATATATCTCTCACAGAAACCACACATAGTGCTGAAATAGCAGTTATTTCATTACAATAGAGATCTCCAGGGTTACTGCATCAGATATCAAACTGGTGCCTTGGAAAGAAGCAAATCAGCACCCTGGCCTGACTAATACTTAGAGAAAACATTAGATAATGTTAAATAAAAACACAATATTTAAAGAAAAGTAAGTTAAAGCGAGATTTTCCATAACCAATATAAAGCTTAATAGCCTAATAATTTGATCATTATAGAATATTAGAATCCTAGGCAGCTATGAGGAAGTAAAGGGCATAAATGATGACCATGATGTAATACGCCATTTCTACACTTCCATCAGGTAGTCAAACACAAGTTGAACTGAAGCATCTGTGTTATTACATTATCACAAACAAAGGATCATTTCTGCATAATTGCAATTTGCTACAGAAGCTACTGATCAGAAATCATTGGAATAAAACCTGTACAGTGGTGCCTTGGTGCTTGACTACTTCAAAACTCATAGAATTTGGGACTCAATGTTGTAAAAGAAGCAGGGGTCAACTGCAGAGTATGAAGAAGAAGTTGGCCATGCTGGGAAGGTTGATGCAAAAGGAAGCAGGTGACAGCCTCAGAGGATAGACAGGAAGTTGGTCATGCTAGGAAAGTTGCTAGCATAGGAAAAGAGACATAGGAATTTCTTCCTGGTCAAAACAAAGAGTCAAGTGATAAGTTATATACAGAGGTAGAATTCTGTGGGTCTGGCTTAGGTAGTGGGCATGGCTTGGTGGGCATGTGACTGGGTGGTCATGGCTTGGTGGTCATGAGACTGGGTGGTCATGGCTTGGTGGTCATGTTATTGGCTGGATGTGGCCAACTCAATATCACTCATATCAAGGCACGCATCTCCTCGCCTGGCCTCTCATGACTGTGGGGATGCTGCAACAGTCCTAAGTGTGAAAAATGGTCATAAGTCACTTTTTTCAGTGCCATTGTAACTTTGAATGGTCCCTCCACACAAACAAAGTACTAGCAAAGGAGTGGGGAAAAAACTCCAGACACATTCCAGAGACAGGAAGTCTAGTCCTGCCAAGAACGTAATAAGGGTTAATGGAGAGGCAGTTTCTATAAGCAACACCAGAATGTTTCCTTCCTGCCTTCCTTACAGGATTAGGCCAGTAATTTCTTCTAACAACTGGTTCTCCAAACTGCTTAGAATGTTAACAACCGGTTCTAGCGAATAGGTACGAACCTGTAGAATCCCACCCCTGGATATATAGTTTGTTTGATATATATCCTTTTTGTAATTGCTGTGCCTACTCAAATCAATTAAGGATGAGTACTGAGGTACCACTGTAGTTCAAAACTGCATTCTGTAATGTCTAGAAAGATTCTCTTTCATACAGATCATGGTGGTGCCATAGCTGTCTAACTGAACTCAGAACTGAAGAAGTTTCTTGAATGAGAATCAAAACACTTTCAAAAAGAAAAAAAAGACAAGAAAGTCCAATTGCTTTTTGGAAAAAGCATCTTTGCCTTCCAGGATGCTTTTAAAAAAATCAGAAATCCTTAAAAAAATAGCATATACTTGACATAAATATGAGATCAGTAAAATGCAAGCCCTAGTTGAAGAGGGGTTATTATTTTATCACTGGGAGAGTAGATTCAGTGCTTGATATCATCTGTCTACCTAGTAAGTCAAAACTTTTATTTTGAGGCTGTACCAATCCACTTAATGAGTCTCCATAAATCCTACTTAGCTATCACTATAAAAAAGAAATTTTCTTGTGGATATGTTTCCTAAAATTTTATTGTATGGTTTGTTTGTTTGTTTGTTTGTTTGTTTGTTTGGTTAGTTAGTTAGTTAGTTAGTTAGTTAGTTAGTTAGTTAGTTAGTTAGTTAGTTA